ATCATCATCATCATCATCATCATCATCATCAGTATCATCATCGTTCTCATCCTCTTCCCCCTCTTCCTCCTCCCAATCCCCCTCTTTCTCCACCTCCTACTCCTCCTCCTCCTCCTCCTCCTCCTCCTCCTCCCCCTCCCCCTCCTCCTCCTCCTCCTCCGCCTCCTCCTCCTCCCGGCCGCGGGTCTTCGCCTCTGGGCACTTTGAATTGTTGCCGGCGAGCGCCGTTCTGAAGGGGCCGACGCTCAGCGTCGGCCCCTTCAGGACGGCCTTTGCACCAGGCAACCGCCATCCTTGAGAATGGTGGGACGCGCCGGCCGGGGGCCTATACCTGGCGTCGCCTGGGAGCGCGACGCCGAGCGCGACGATGGCGTAGTCGCACGCCCTGGGCCTCCCCGCCAGTGCGCCCTCCAGCCCGGCCCCCGCCATTGCGCCAGGCACCCCGCGCAGTGTTCCAGGAAAGGGCGCCCTCGCCAGCTGCTCCAGCGCCCCCACGCAGCGCCCCCCAGCCCGCCGCGCCGCGCCCAGCCCCGTCGGCGTCGCCAGCAGCTCGGCCAGCCGCCCGGAGCGCGCCCACCCGTCGCCCGGCGCTGGCCTGCGCCCGGACCAGTTCAGTTCGGCCAGCTGGCTCTGTCTCTCCATGGTCAAGCTCCAAAAGCGCCAGCCTGGGCGGCGCCCCGCTGCCGCCCCCGCTGGGCCAGCAGAGCCGCTCAGGCGAGGCCCGTTGCGTGGCGGCGCTGCATGGCGAGTTCAGGTTGCACCGCGCAGCTGACGCTCCGCGGGCTGCTGGTCGGCAGGGGACGCGCGCACCTGCCTCAGGAGCCACTGCCAGGCTTCTCCGCCTAGGCGGCCAGGGGTCTCAACCACGCAGGGCGTGAGGCGGTCCCCTGGGCACCTGGCGTGTTTCTGCCGTTCTGCCGGGCGGCCTCGCCGGCATGGCGCGCCGCCGCTGGCGCCACGTCGTCGGCGGCGGGGTGGCGGACCGACACGTCGACCCAATGCGGGACGGCCCGCTCGTGGCATTCCACATCGAGGACCGCGCGCCCAACCAGGTCCGCGCCGGGCGGGCCCCTTGGCCGCCGGTTGCGCTCCCGATCCCACGTCGGGACGCACTGCTCCGTGAGCGGTTCCTGGCGCAGCCAGCGCCTGACCAAGCCAGTGACGCTGTGCTCGAGGCTGCCGCAGCGGCGCTCGACGCCACCGCCCAGCGCGCAGGTCTTCGGGCGGGTACCCTGCTCGTCCAGCGGCTGGCGCCCAGCGGCTGGCCGCGCGGCGCGCCGCGGGCCCCCTGGGCAGCTCGGCTGTTCTGGCAGGTCTGCGCCGCGGCCTGTAGCTCGGCCCGCTCGCAATCGGCCCGGGGCAAGCGCAGTCGGGCGCGGTGGGTTGCGGCCCAGAGCCCGCCTCCATGGAGCCAGCGGGGCCCGCGGGGTGGCCGAGGAAGGCCGCGCCCTCAGGCCCCCCCTGCGTCGCCCTCTCATGCTGGTGCAAACGCTGCCGCGAGGCAGCGCGGGTTGTCTTTTTAGCAGCTTGCACGAGTGCTCTGCTTTCCTGGGTGCTCCAAGGCGTCCAACAGGGAGGCGCCCGGCGCAAGGTCTGCGCCCTGGAGGGGGAGCTCTGTCCGAGCTTCGGAAAGGGCCTTGCCCAGGCGCGGCGCGGCGTCCAAGGGCTCAAGCAAGGTCGGACCGCCGATGCGAGCATAGGGAGACGGCCGAGGGGCCGTTCCTAGACGGGGTCCGTAGGTAAAGGCGAGGAGTGGGACTCGTTTTCCAGGGCACTGGCCAGCGCGCAGCGCGCTGTAGATAGTTAGCCTATACCTGAGCCAATACAGTTGCAGAAGAAGGGATAGAATACGGAAGTGAGCAGACTTCACGCGCGCACCCCGCCCCGAAACCTGCCAACCCCCGACGGTCTCTGGCCCGCGGGAGACAACGGCAGGGATCGGGAACTGGGGTGCGAGGTCCACTCGCAGCCCCATTTGATCCACCGCCCCTCCAAACGAGGGTGCGCTGGCTAAGAAGGTGAGAGAGAAGACCAAACCCGCCGCGCGGGGTACTTGGGGGCATCTACTTAGCGGACCCAGGGTGCGCCCCTCAAAAACGCCTCGGCACTCCTGGGCGACACTCCGTCACCACAGGTGACAAGGATGGGAGGGAAAGGGAAACAGAGCAGAGAGGTGGCACCAGCAACCCTCGACGCAAGCGTGGCCACCGAAGCGGCGCGCGCGCAAAGTAATATGGATCGGAGTTGCGACGAGAATTCGATCAAAGCAAAAGATCTCTCATTCACGAGGCCGCCCAGGCCCAAAATATAGATTCCTACGGCACTCCAGGCCCGATTCTGACAAGTGTTAGGATAGTTGCGATGACGACTGATCTCTGAGAGTGCGTCATGCATGACGCGAGGCACTCTGGGCCCCAAAGGTACTTTGAACTGTGGAACAAACTGATAATGGGTAATGCTTTGCATCCGTCGTATACTGGCGCCGCTCCATGATAAAATAAGAGCATGTATGTATAAAACTACTGGCGGGCGACCTGCCTGGGCGCACGCATGTCCACTTGCCGGACGTAGACGGAAATCAAAATCAACATTCATATACAGCGCAAGCCCAATTATCTCAAACCAAACGGTACAACTGTCAAAACGCCTCAAGATACATATGGATGATAAACGTACTCATACCGAATCAATCTCCAGAGTCGATGGTGATAGAATATACCCCAGGATGCGCAGCAAAATCTGCCAATCCATAATCATACCCCATTCTCGTAGTAACGCTCATCCCAAGCAAGACTCCCATAGTCATTGGACCAGCTGGTTGTGATAGTCCGGTAGGTGTCCCATGACCATATGTACTCGTCATTTTCGCTGTCGACATAGATCCATTGGGACAAGTAATTTGACAAATAATGGCACGTATCGCGTTGGTAATGCTGGAGACCATGACGCCACCAGGCGTAGACATTGCGGCGCTCACGCACGGCACTCCTTCTACGACCACGCTCGTCGTCACGGTCGCGCTCGCGCCTCGGTGGCGCCAGGGGGCGACGTGATGTTGATGGCTGAGCAGCGCTGCCAGCCCCGCCCGCAGCGTCAGCCCAGCCAGCGCCGCCAGGTGCATAGGCGGGAGCGGGGCCATCGCGGCGCGGGGGTGGAGGAGCTGGGGCGAGGCGAATGGGTTCTTCAGAGGCGACGGTCAAGCCGCCCTCATTACCCGTCGCAGCGCCTATGGGCACCTGCTGCAGATCACCTAACGCCACGCGGTTCGTCTGACCCCCCCCCCCCTCCGAGAACGAGCGGAAAAGGTGAAGCGCCCACGGTCGAGCCGCTCGCCGCGAGGAATTGCTCCGGGAGCCTGCGCCCGCTGGCCTGCGCAGCCAAGCTGCTGGCTCCCGCGGAGCAGGCGCGTCCCCTCATACATATCACCGATCGCGAATGAGCGCTGGCGCGTCAGCACTCTGTCGTCCGCCATCTGACGGCGAAAGACGCCGCCTCCTTGATGTCGATGGGCAAACCCGGGGCGCGGGTGATAGAGGACGACGCGCTCTTCGCCGGCGCCTGCCTGCCCGCCGACACGACATTGGCCAGGGCTCGGACTGCCGGCCCCCGACCACTCGGCGCGTCGGACTGCGGCTTTGTCGGCCAGCCTGCGAAGGTGGTCCCTTTCAGTAAAAGCCTCGGAGCGTGCGCCCTTAACGCGAATCTGGACATCCGCGGGCTCTGTCTCGCACGCGATGTTCTCGCCCATTTGATCGCGGGCCCAGCTGCGCACATCGGAACGAACCCGCGCCCCCATGTTGAAATGACTCAGTGCAGATGTGGCACGGGCCATCTTCGTTTGAGTCGTCATCTGGGAGCTCGCGGTGGCAACTGGCGCAATGCTGCTTTGCGGTCTGGTAGTCAGCCGCTCCGTTCTCAATCAATTGCTGAACCCGCCTGCGGGCGTTGCCGCCAGCGCCCAACTTTCGGCCGATCTCATGAAGAACACGATTCGGAACGAAGGTGGCGCGGTCGGCGGCGAAATCATCGGCCAACGGTTGCAATCCCCTATCGGTCATGGGACCAGAGAGGTCCCCATCCATGATCTGGTCGCGATCGCGGCGTGCTGGGGCCGCGCTCTGATGGTCTCGGAGGAGCTTCCCTCCCTGCGACGAAACTCCTGAGCCAGTGCATATTCGACGTTGGCGTCGCCCGCGCCATCATCGCGATCGGAACGCATCACTTCCATGAAATGTCCCTGCGCGGGGGAAACGGCCGACGCGACGCCTCCAGGGCCAGCGCCAGGGACGCTCGCAACAGCGGGCGGTGGAGTGGCGGAAGCCCTGAGATTACATTGGTCTCTCACCGGACTTCGGGTCTGAGAGCACCGTCGATTCCCAGAGACTGAACAGGGGCGCCAAAACTGGATGGTGTTTGAGGGTGTCCGCTGCAGGGGTTCGCTGCAAACGAAGTGTAGCATCGCTCTGAAGGGTGGCGAACAAATGTGAGATCCAACGAGATAGCGCCAGGTCCTCAGCATCGCCCCAACTCATATCCGTCATTAGTAGACAGGGAACGGTTGTGGCCACAAATGTTCGGTAGTTCTTTGGCCCAAGGACTGAGCGGGTTGAAGTTCACCCTGTCCCAACCCGCCTTGGGGTCAAAGCGGAACAGTATCTCCAAGTGACTATCACAGTAGTATGTGTCTCTGCATTATGCCGCGCATACCTGGCCCATCTCGCACAGTGGGGCCTGCAACAATCCGATAGCCTGTTTTTTTTTTTTGTCTGCCAGTCGCGCGAAAAAAACCTCAGTTCCGCCGTCGAACACGTGGCGCAGATGGACGGTAAGTCGTCGATGACTTCGATCGTTATGATCAAATTTGTCTCGTCGATATCGATGTGCTGGTTGTCGTTCTGCTGGAACGCAGGTGCGCCCACCGGCTTGTCGACGGCGGCATCGCCATCGATAAGTCCAAGGTGGATGTCGACATCGCACAAGCCCAGGTGGTCAATGTACATGTCGGACAGCTCGGCACGCAGTGGAACCGCGAAAAGAAAGCCATTATGCTCGTTTTTCTTCTTCTCGGCGTACCAACGGTTGGGCCAGAATGGGCCACGGCCCCGAAAAGGGACCTGCGAGCTGACGCATGGTCCATTGCGAACAATGTCGGGGGTGGGTCCGTAGATGTTTCCTTTGCCAAGCGTGAGCGCGACATTTTTTGGCTGGCCACAGGCGATCCACAGCGCGGCAACGGGCAGAGCCATGCAATCGTGTGTATATGAAATCATTGATGTGGATGTCTCGGAAGCGACTGCAACGATCCCAAATGCCAAGAGGAAGTGTCCCCACAAGTGGTTCGAGGTACTCCTTCTTGCCATTGTCTACGCTCTTCCACCAATGGGCCATGGTCAGAATTTCCTCGTCTGCCGGATTTGGCGCAGGTGTCGCCACCGGCTGTCCTCCGTACAGGAGGTGGTCATGTTGGGATTGGTTCTGCTCTGGCACTGGTTGCAGTCCTGGGATCTTTGGAACATTCGGCGCAGCGGAGGAGGAAGAGGAACGCAGACCGGTAGGCATTGGCTTCGGTCTTGGCGCCTGGACGCGCGTCCGCAACTGCTTTGCTGCAGGCGTTGCCACCGGCGCAATCTCGCAAACCTCGCGTTGGCAGCGTGGTGCCGGCAACTTGACCAGTCCTATACTTCCAAATCAAATTGGGTGGGTACAGAGAGCCGCCCCCGACCGATCTGATGGCAAGGATGGCCACTGGTGGAATAGCCTGGGGGCACACGATGGCCCCTGGTTCGCCGAGCCAAAACTCACGGCCAGCAGTCATGGCCGAGCGCATGTCGATGACCACGCCGACCTGTTTCTTCTTCTTGTGCTCGAACTTGTATCCAGGGATCGTAATATGAAGATTTTGTTCGTCATGACGCACGAAAAAACTCGAACTGTAAAATGCCTCGCGCCGTGGGCGGCGATCGGCACCATAGCCTGGCACGGTACAAATTTCAAAATACTCATCCAGGCATCATTGGTGGTGGCATGGCGTAGGTACTTCACATCCGTGCATGACAGACGCTTCCAGCCCATATTCCATGGTTGGCTGTTGCGGTGTACGGCAATATGCCCACCAATGGCACGAATGGCCAGTACCTCATCCCATGCAAAATCTGCCTCCCGACAATTCTGGGTTGGGGCGGCGGACGAAGACCTGGAAGCGGGCCTTCTCGTCGTCGAGCACGGCGATCACGTAGTACTCCTGTGCACTGTGCCGCGGTTGGCCGGCAGCGTTTGCCTGGTGCATGCGGGCATGTACTGCATTCCTATTGGGGCCGCAGTCGTTCCGAATAAAAACTTCGGACGCGATGTGACGGAAGGACTTGTGGTGATTGGCCGCGGCGCAAGTATCCACGTCCGCGTGCTCCCAGATGTTGACACGGCGGTCCAGAAATTGATCCAAACCGTTGCGGCCGCCGTTATCAGGGAGTGCGGTTGAAAGAGCCTTACTGAACCACCGTGGTGTTCCCATAATGTCACCAGGATACATCGAGACAACCAGGAGAGGCAAGCCCAGCTGTTTGGTAGTCACATTGCATAGAGTAGTCCATGCGTAGTCTGGGAAACAGCCACTGTTCTGTAGGTCGGAAGCCTGCTAGATCACGTAGTCATCGTAGTACAAACTATGTCTGTATTCCCGATTCATACTGACCACGTCCACGCAAAAACCGGTAAAGACAAGAAACTTACCCCCAAGATAGCCAACCTCCAAGACGGCCGCCCAAAAAGGTCCAATATTCCAGAAGTTTCTAAAAGCCTACGAAGGTCCCCCAGAGGCACGCTGAGGTCCGCAAAGGCGGCTAAGACGCCCAAGCACGTCGGACATCGAACCCTACTGTTTCTGCGCATGGACAAGCTTGCCTGCGATGATGCTGGATGTTTCGTCGGACCTCTTCTCCGACGAACCGCAACGCAGCATCGAAGGCAAGGAAATCAAACTGCCGTACATGCAGGCGCATGCGTCGACGTTTGCAGGTTTCCAAAGACATCCGAAGAAAACTCACTGCTATGATGGCGGTCGGGTTCCCAAAGCCAGGGAAACGAACATACCAAAAAACTGATCGCGATGCGAATGGAATGCTCTCTCTGCAATCGAGACTGATGAGGAAACGCCGTTATACATCTGATCTAGATTCATCAGCTGTGTGCGTCCAGCCGCGGGCGTGCTGACGTTGGCTTGTTGTCCTATTTGCCCAGAAGACCTCCAACTGCAAACTCCGCCCGTTCTGAATGCTCCGCGTACACACGTAAGACGTAAGTGCACGAAACCGCTGCTGGCGCGCCTCTGGGCCACAGTAAACTCAACCTGACCACAAGACACCAAGCCTGGAGTTTCGACATGATGTTGCTGCGCGCTGAAGCGGCCCCAATCCAGCCCTCTCTGCCCCTGACCAAACGCCTGCAATATCAACCTGCTGGAAAATACACACCGCACGGTGCTCTCAGAACGGATGGAATCGAAGGGAAGCCCCTTCCGTTTGATCCCTTCCCCGCAGGGGGGGGGGAAGGGGGGGGGAGGGGGGGGGAGAGCCCGAGGCAGATACGACGCCCGCCGGAGCGCACTTTCCTCGAGCGGGCACGCACGGGATGCACTTCCTCCTTCTCCTGGTCCTCCTCCTCCTCCTTTTCCTCCTCCTCCTCCTCCTTCTGCTCCTCTCCTCCTTTTCCTTTTCCTTTTCCTTTTCCTTTTCCTCCTCCTCCTCCTCCTCCTCCTCCCGCAGAGGCGTCCCGGGAGCGGGCCCCGAGTCAAAATACCACCCCCCTAGGGCGCATTTTCCTCGAGCGGGCACGCCCGAGATGCACTTCTTCCTCTTCCGGGAGCACGTCCCAAGTCAGAATATCACACTCCCGGGGCGCACTTTCTTCGAGCGGGCACACAAAGGATGCACTTCCTCCTCCTCCTCCTCCTCCCTCCTCCTCCTCCTCCTCCTCCTCCTCCTCCATCCTCCTCCTCCTCCTCTCCTCTCCTCCTCCTCCTCCTGCTCTCCTCCTTTTCCTCCTCCTCCTCCTCCTCCTCCTTCTCCTCCTCCTCATCCTCCGTTTCCTCCCCCCACTCCTAGCTCTTTCAATCAGGGTCGGCGGCATCGGCCGTCAGGCCTCTCCAATACACACCGCACGGTGCCCTCCCAACGGACGCGCATGAGTCTGCACGCGAAGCAGGGCGTTGTCGGTTCTTTCCACGAAGGATGGCTGCCCAGGGAGGGAAACATCGACCTGGAATCGGCGGTACATAGCAGATAGTTTGGCGTTAGCCCACCGAAAGCGAATCAGCACATTCCTGGGAGGGGCGAGCTATCGGGCCCCCATCGGCAATGAGTGGTCGGCTGGGGGACGTTGCAGTTCCCCCCTGACATTGCCCCTATTCCTTCAAGTCGAACCCCTCACAGAGGAAGGTCCGCAGGCGGGGATGGCCAGCGGCGGCCGCACCTCCAAGCTAGCCGCCCTGCAAGCAAATTCACTTCGCACCAGGCCCACGGTGCGAACCCAAACCCGCTTGTCCGCACGTCATTGCCACATCCGCCACACCAGCGACAACTCTTTAAAGTCCCCTTCATGCACAATGGCACCCTTTAAAATGTCAGGCAAGGCTGCTGAATGGGTGGTGTACCTGAATCATGCATCGGATTTGATACCCGGCATCGGCGCCCAACAATCCGACACTGGATTTTCCAGTGTGAGGGGGGGCGTCAGGGGGAACCGGCTCGGAGGTGGGAAACACCGACCTGGAATCGGCTATACATCGCCGATGCATCGGTGAATGGACCCCCGATGGCGAATCCGAATGGTCCTGGGCAGTCCTGGGCGATGGGGGGTCGAAGCATCACCCCCTGAGCCCGTCCCCCTGTCAGATATACGCTGTACATTGTGTAGACAGCAAAGCAAGAGCGTAGCAGAGCACGCACGGCATTATAAGCACGAGCGGGGGACGAAGAGCAGCCTCCGACCGTACTGTCGTTCGGCCCAAACCTTGACAGGGCCCGTGAGTCACCAACGCAGCGGTGTGAAAACATCCCGATGTGATTCGTTAATATATTTCTGATTACAATCAGAGACTTCGAGGGCGTTCATACCATATTGGTAGCGGAGCCTGGCTCGCCACGCTCACGTTTCGACCTTCCATATCACGGCGACAATTTCACGAAAACGTTCGACCACTCCCAAGCTTCGGTTACGGAAACCACACAGCGGCCAACTTCGTAGCTCCCGCGGTTGAATTTCGACAAACCGTTGCCGTTCAATGTCATAGACCAGCCTACCAGAGATATCGGAGATTTCTCAAGGCGGCTCACGTTTGACTTCATAGACCCATTGCAGTTCGATTTCGGCCAGATGGCGAAGACGGCGACATCATCGGACATTCTACCAGGGCGAGGAGTTCCGCAGTTCGACGGCACCCTCAGCAAATGGAAGGAGTACGAGAAGCGGGCGCAGGTCTTCATAGCGAAACTCTCGTTGGAGAAGAAAGTGAAGCGGCTCTCATGCTCAGCGAATATCACACCGGAGAGGCCTGGGACGAGGTGGAGGACCTTTCAGCGGACGACCTCACCATGCCGAACGCGGCGAAGCTGCTCATGAACAGACTACAGAAGCGGTTCAAGATGGACGATCGCACCGAGATCGCAGACGATTTCGAGGAGTACAGGGGCGAGACGCTCTTCGCCTATCTCTCGCGAGTTCGAGCAGCAGAGCGGAAACTCAAGACGCACGACATCGAGCTACCCGCCAAGGTGCGAGGCTGGCTCACGCTAGGACGCGGCGGCTACAAATCGGACCACAGAAGGCAGTCATCATGTCGGTGGTCGGCAAGGACATCACTCAGGACAAAATGATCGAGGCGCTGGAGACCACCTTCGGGCAGGAGAGCACCATCCACGAGCCGAACCACGCACGGAGACAAGATTTCGGCGACAAGGCAGGAGATTACTACGAAAAGTAAGCTTACACTGTCGAACGAAGGGCG